AGGATTTGTTGTTAAGAGAGTTGATGTGATGGAATTGATAAATGTTGATAATCTGTCCACTGGATTGAGGTCCCCATCATTGGTTTTGGGTGGAATGCATTATGATTCTTCCTGTTGCATCAGTTCTTTTTTCTTTGTCAGTAGAAAACTATTGGAGCTATAATGCTGTTGCTTCTGTAATATGTAGATACGTGCATGGGGATGTGAAACCTGAGAACTTCTTGCTTGGTACTCCGGGAACTCCAGATGAGAAAAAACTTTTTCTTGTTGACCTAGGATTAGGTAAGCTGTAAATTTTGTTCTTTTAAGATATATTTTATATGCGGATCCAAATCATTTCTGACAGTTCTGTTTCTGTTCTGACCTAACAGCGACCAGGTGGCGAGATAGTTCAAGTGGTCAACATGTTGAATATGATCAACGTCCTGATGTTTTCAGGTAAAATTAAAAGTTATATATTACCTTTGCATGATTTTCTTTTTCCTTTCTGGGGTGGTATATAGGTTAGATATGTTCATCTATCTATAAGCTTGGGGGTTCTTTTCCTTTTTTTCATTTTTAAGGTTATGATTATCAGTTATTGATAAGTCCTGTACTGCAGGGGTACTGTACGGTATGCTAGTGTTCATGCTCATCTTGGTAGAACCGGTAGCAGGAGAGATGATCTAGAATCTCTGGCTTACACGCTCATTTTTCTCCTCCGTGGTCGGTTACCTTGGCAGGGATATCAGGTTTGATTCCTTAAATAAAGATGTCAGTATGTTCATATATATTTATATATTATCTGTTACATTTCTGATGCAAGTGGCTATTTTAGGGTGAAAATAAAGGCTTTCTTGTTTGTAAGAAGAAGATGGCAACTTCCCCAGAAACTTTGTGTTGCTTTTGCCCTGCACCTTTCAGACAGTTTGTTGAATATGTGGTGAACTTGAAGTTTGATGAAGAACCGAATTATGCAAAATATATCTCTCTGTTTGATGGAATTGTTGGTCCAAATCCAGATATTAGGCCAATAAATACTGATGGTGCTCAGAAGGTAATTTTGGCTTCTTGTCTCTGCATTATTTACTTGACTTGTCATTGCGAAAGATGTGAATCTCATATTTTGGAACTTATTTAACACATGTATATATTTTTGTCTTGAAGCTTATATTTCAAGTAGGTCATAAGCGAGGACGGTTGACAATGGAGGAGGAAGAGGATGAACAGCCAAAGAAGAAGGTTCGAATGGGAATGCCTGCAACACAATGGATTAGCGTGTACAATGCTCGTAGGCCTATGAAGCAAAGGTATCTATCGTAAGATCACTATCAAGCTTTACAAATTCATGAATAAGAATAGATGCTGATAATTTCTACCTCCTGTTGTAGATATCATTATAATGTGGCAGATGTGAGGCTTCCCCAACACATAGAGAAAGGAAATGAAGATGGGTTATTTATCAGCAGTGTGGCTTCTTGTTCTAACCTATGGGCTCTTATTATGGATGCTGGCACTGGCTTCACTGCTCAAGTTTATGAGCTCTCACCATCCTTTCTTCATAAGGTTGCTTGTGGTCCTGTTGATTCTAAGACCTTTATCTATTGCAAGTCTGCTACATTATATATTTCATTTTAAGTTGTATGCTGATGTGATTTTTGCACTTAGTTATGTATGTCAAACACAATTGAAAATAGCTCTTGGTTTGTGGTTTGGCACAAATATTAATTATCAATTTTGTTACTTTCTGAAGGAATGGATTATGGAGCAATGGGAAAAGAATCACTACATCAGTGCAATTGCAGGAGCTAATAATGGGAGCTCATTAGTTGTAATGTCTAAGGGTTAGTTTGCACGCTTTCCGCTTGTGATATTGCATTTCCCACACCAACATTTCCATAGGCAAATAGGAGGTTTCCATAAGAAATTACTATTTTTATATTTATGTAGTCTATATCTTATTTCTATTGTTTTATTGAATGTAGGGACCCAGTATTTGCAGCAATCTTACAAAGTTAGCGATTCGTTTCCCTTTAAGTGGATCAACAAAAAATGGAGGGAGGGTTTTTATGTGACTGCCATGGCCACTGCTGGAAGCAGATGGGCAATTGTTATGTCGCGTGGTGCTCCATTTTCTGACCAGGTTTTTAGTGGATTTCAAGCATATCTGTTAATGTACTCCATTGTGGTAAACAGAACGCTTATGGCCTGACGGTATCCTTTTTGGGTCCACTTGCAGGTTGTAGAATTAGATTTTCTCTATCCTAGTGAAGGTATTCATCGGAGGTGGGATAGTGGCTACCGCATCACATCAACTGCTGCAACATGGGATCAAGCTGCTTTTGTTCTTAGTGTTCCAAGAAGAAAACCTGCAGATGAAACTCAGGAGACCCTCCGAACCTCTGCTTTTCCTAGCACTCATGTGAAGGTATTGCATTCAACTCTGTTCGCTAGCTTATTTCATCCTTTCTTCCTAAAAGTGTAAATGTTTACATAGTGCTTTTTCCTCAGGAGAAATGGGCGAAGAATCTATATATTGCATCAGTTTGCTATGGTCGAACTGTTTCGTGAACTGCCAAAATTTTGTTCAGATGCCACACATTTTATTTGATCGTGCATATGTATGACAAGAGACGGCTCTGCTGCTTCATTTTTAGTGAACTAAGCTCTTTAGCCAGATTGAATGATGGCAGCATTTGGGATTTGATGTATGCAAAATTCTACTTTATTGTCACCATCATGTAGCATCTCTTCAAACACCTGTGCACTGTCATTCAATCAAGTAAAATCTTTATGAGCTAATTTCAGATCTTTTGTCCCATTAGATGTGGGTGTTCTTACCTTACTTGTATAGTTTTGAAATCATAATTTCTTGGTTGAAGGCAAGTGCACAGGTTATGTTTTCATTGTTGATGGTGTTTAAGGAATCTGCAATGATGATTTTATGCTGGAGTCTACATATGCCTTGAGTTAGTCTGTACTATGTCTAGCCTTGTTTTCTGGACTAGAAGATCATTATGATCTTTCAACCTTTCACTTCTGGGATGTCTGATTTGACCCTAAAGATGAGAGAATGTTACTCATTTGTATATTTCGAAGCAACAGTATGTAATGGGATATCATTATTAACTTTTGCGCTATAGTTGATGCTCGAATTCTCATTTCCCTCAAAGCTATCCGGTGCATGCAGCACTTGATCCATCAGAATATTTTATGGATAGTTAGAATAACACAATCGCAACCACAAATACCTCATCCTTTTGCCAAACTCCCCATTGTTTCAAATTATTTTCGGTAGATGTTTTTATCCCATTATTTCTTCTTTTCTTGCTTGAGTCAGTTCGTGCTGTTGTTTTCATTAGGTGCATGCTAGAGGTGATATATCTGTTTCCCAACAAGTTTTACTGTCCATTGTGGATAAGCATCTGAATAATTGAAGTTGTGATCTTTCAATGTGCCAACTTTTTATACTCTTATACCTTTTGAATGCCATAGTGGTAAATTTGTAATAGTTTGCTGATGTAGTCTGATAATGCCATTTATATTTAGCTCACAATTTGTTTCTTAACACTATCTTAATGCTGTACTTTGGAGTTTAGAGTGGTGTTATGTAGTGATTTTTTTGTCTTAGGCTCCAATTGTGAGCCTATGAGCTGCTTTTGTATCTTTAACAGAGGTCAAAATCTCAGAAGTAGAAATGCAGCAGAGGCCCTTTATATGTGCCTAAAAGTTTTTGCTAAGGAACAGCCAGGAGATCAACCAATATTGATTTGGTAAGGAACTTTCACTAGTTAACTTGATGCATATTTTTAGGTCATGAGACTAATTGTACACTTTCCGAGCAGTTTTTGTGTACATGGGCCATTCTTATTATTTACTATATTTTTGCACATTTTTCAGGTACAGCTTCAGGCTGATCTTTGAATATTCCACCTGATGAATTCTTGTCCATGTCTGATTTTGCCTTCTGTGATTGGAACTGATGATACAGAAATGCAAGCACTTACCAGCTCTTGGTAATGCTTGGGGCACTACTTTCATTTTACCTCTGTGCATTCTATTATATGTGGCATCAAAATACTAAGTAACTTTTTCTAACATGATGAAAGTTATTGATATTGTGGTTAAAGAATCTATAATATTGGTTTGAATTTTTCCTTATAGGGTCTGGGTTAAGGGAATGGAGAGTTTTGTTTTCTAGCTCAGGGACTTAACATACAATAAGGCAATGTAGTGTGCAAGTGTGTTTCTGTTCACTTGCATGTTCATGCATTTGTGAATCGTCTTATATAATGGGGTGTTTGTCATAACGTTCTGTGGTAACTGTTTTGGCTGCATGCTATGCTATATAGATGCCTGCCGTGCTGGAAAAGAAAACTACAGCCAAAAATTTTGAAATTAACTTGTTTAACTGCATATGTTTATAAACTGATTTATTTATGCATTATAGTTGTAAATGGTGAATTAAATATTTAAGTGCTAATCACTTTTCCTTATGGTACCTCTCTTCTATCTTCCCCTTTCCCAGGTTAATTGCTAGGAGGCCGGGAGTAGGAAACTTTTCTTCTTGCAAAGCAAACCTGGATGCTGAAGTTCACTTGAGAATTGTTGAACCACTCCTGTGATAGGCCTCTGCTGTTTCAAGACTAGAATATTAAGATCTTCAACATGAGTTCATTGGGAAGGGAAATTTTCTCATCTAAAGATCAATGAGCATAGATGTTTTGGCAGTTTGTTCAGAAAAAAGTTGTATCTGTACTTGCTTTTGGGGCCGAATCAACGTTACTTTTGTGACATGTTATCTTGTTTGACGTTATATCTATTAGGTGTGTAGGTTGTCATTGACCATAATGTAACAGGTGGTTTTGTTTAGCGTCATTTTGAGTACACCTGTTTCTATCCTGTTTAGTGTAGAGAAGAGCTGCAGGGTTTACCTGGGCAGGGCATTTATTCATGTTATCACTAGTAGCTCCACCAAATGCCAGCATTGAGATTTGACATTGCTCAGTGCCTATCTGAACATATAATGTGCCATGTTAACAGTGGTACATCTTGCTGCTTACAAGTTTGAGATTAATGTTAGTCATTCTTCTGTATCATTAATTAGTGTATGAGTAAAAGTTAGAATCTTCCTTTTGAAAAACTCTTATAAGAATAGCGTACTTGCATTGGCTGGTTGGGCACTTGGGGGTATTAATTCCTTTGAAATCGGCTCCATTTATGTAATATTTCTCAATGCTTGCAGGATGCTGTCAAGACCGACAGATTTACATATTTGTAACTCTCTCGTTCAAGAAACCATCAGTAATGAATCTACCCCACCTGGTTAAAAAATGCAAAATTGTGATGGACAGATAGAAGATAAGTCAGAATCCTTGTACAAACTATCTGATTTGTTGGCTTGGAATAAAACAGAGTCTCCTCAAGCGAACTCTCTCCTAGCAGAAACAAAGGCACTTGAAACATCAGTATTGGCAGCTTCAAAGGAAACAATTTTCTTGTACTCACGGTGGAAATGTTTTACCTCAGAGCCATCGTGTTCATATCGAATCAAAAAGAGACACCTGCAACCTCTTATGTCATGCATTTTCCTTTCAATCTCCATGATGTGAGCATCATAGTAGATTGCTTGGTCTCTTCTCTCCTAAAATGAAAGCCAGGAACACTAATTTAAGTAACAAAGAGTTGGAATATTACCGGAGAAATTTCAAATACAAGGAGTGCATCTAAGGTCACCTGCAAGCATAATACAAGATCTCCAACTTTCACCTTGTGACATTCTGTATGTTCAAATGGAATGGATCGCTCACGTAGTGCCTCCTTTACATTAACCCATTCATCCTCCTCAGCCCCAAATCCAACAAATCTAACACGAACTTCCTTTAACAAGCAACATATTTATCAAATGACTTATTAAAATAAATACTTACAATACATCAAACTCTTTTTAAGAAGTTTCCACTGTTTCAACCTAAAAATCACCCTATTAATGCTTACTCCTACATATCAATTTGACTCTGTCATGCCACAAGATGTTTGACAACAACTATGACCACTTTAACATTAGCTCTCGATGAGCATCAGTCTAGAAAGTGAATGCAATAGTATTATTTAGATACTCACCGTTTCACCAGAACTAAGAAATCGGTGAGTGAGAAAGTTATCAACATCATACCTACACATCAAAATAAAGTTACTCCAGCATGAACAGGTTTAAATTACTAGATTTCATATGACATAAAAGAATAAATGCATGTTAATTTACATTGTTGTTTTCTATATGTTGAGAAAAATCATAATAATAGAAAGCCTAGACGATCGCTATTGAATTAGCATAGATTCATGGGCTTACCATGCACCATCTTTTGATGACTTTGCCTCGAATTCTAGTTCTGATATATCTGGGACCTTTTCTCCGACTTTTGAAACTACTCCTAGAAAAAGAGAGGGGAAAAAATTAGCATTGAGGAAACAAAATGCTTTTCTCCAAACATGAGAAAGGGATGGTTCAATTCAGTAACAAAGGTTCCAATTTCACTTTTATTTCATGGTTTTTAGATCAAAAAGCAAAGGCAGACATAACCAAGAAACCTATGCAAGATGTGTGCACCAGTAGAATAGAAAGAGAGAGTAAATATAAACACTTGCAAACTCATACATTAAGTTAGACACTCGTAGTCTATACAGGTAAAAGCTTTACTTTACAAGTAAAGCAAAAAAAAGACTAGGGTATTGAAGGCCACTCCACTTCAGAAATTCTTCTGCATTGTTGCTTAAAGAGAAATAAAGATGTGATTTTGTGATTATGATTGTTGCTTATAGAGCTTCATATTTCCAAAACGGGCCATTGCGTGAGAGTAATTAGCAAATTAGATTAAAAAAGCATTATAACAACCAGATATCTGAGGAACTTTCCCAATTTTGAACAATTTTTTTCAAATTCCCAAAGAACACACCTTTAAGAATCTGTGTACTTTGATGTCCATCATTTAGAGGGCAAGTTTCAGGGATTTTGGACTCATTTTTGGATGTGCTTTCTTGCTGCCTAGCTATGAACCAGCTTTGTACCTGGAAGAAAAATTATGAAATTAGAGATCATAGGAGAGTTCCTAAACTGTTAAATATAAACAACATAATCAAAATTGAAGGAAAATAGGAGAAATAATAATAAAAGTAATGCAGAAAATGAAAGAAAGTGTAGAGTCAAAAAAGACCTCAGCCCATTTAACGATAGGTTTGCCAGCACGACCTGAGGATGAACTGCAAAGACAACATGCATCTTAAGTCCAAGCTAGTTCATGTGGTTAGTTTAAAAGGGGGAAAAGAAGGGGGGAGGGGGAGAGAAACTACAAGATATCTACAAGAAATGCTACTAACTTAAAACTTCTTGCAATTTTTTGACAAAACTCCTTGCTCTGCAACAGCTCTCTTGATTCCATTAAAAATTTCTCCATCTTCTCAATCTATACATAAGGAGGTAGCAACATGGGTCGAATATATGTTTTGTAATCCCTTAGCATAATAGCTTTGCAGAAGCCAAAAACATGAGCCATCTCAACAGTTAAGACAGAAATTTAGCATAACAATCACATTGGTTCGCTTATAGCAAAAGGATAGAATCATCACCATTAAAACATAGTGCACATTAGTGCAATGCCAAACTAAGAAAGATCTTAACTCCAATACATATGTGCAAAACATCACGAAACAACCACATAATACAAACCAGAATCAAGATAAGACCTCTAACTTCACATGTTCATGAAAAATAACAAATAACATCAACATGTCTTTGGGCTAATCAGAAACAGAATAAAAGGACAATGCATTAGGAAGTATAAGAAGCATTTTGGTATTGAAATATATGAATAATGTTAAAATTCTACAACACCATTTACTCAAGACCCCACAATTTGGAGCAAAATTTCTTAGCTATTCATTCATAAACAAAACTACTATTATCAGCAGTACCATTAATACAACAACCTGACAAAATTCTTTTTTAAAATAAAACCATTAAAATAAACACACAGTAGCAGCTGAAACCGAAACAGTTATCAGCAATTGGACAAACCGGAGAATACCCAGATAAACGAATGCGACTTAAAAGAGAAAAGAAAGAGTTTCTTTACCTCAGCTTTTGTAAATCCAGAGAAAACAGGCCTCTGTCTCTGTCTTGGGCGGAGACGGTCCATCAAACACTCCAAAAACAGATTTTTTTTTCCTTTTTTTTCCCAAAATAGAAACTTTTAAAGCTTTCCCTCTATAAACTAGTGGGGGCTATTGGGAAACGATTGGGGATTAGGGAATCTCTACATTTAATACAATTCGGAAAACCCTAACGCCTTTAAAGTTTCAGACTGTGTGTTGTACAGAGAGTGCCAGTTTAAGCGCCTTTGCAGTGCTGAGTCTAGAATTCAATTCTTTAGTATTGCCTTTACTCTTTTGGGCTATGGGAAAGGCTCGAGCCTTTGGAGTGTAACAGTAGAGGAGAGGCTTTGCTTTGCAGCGTAAAATCAAATGGAAATATAGAATTCGGAAATGATTCAAACTCGCGTACAAGAAATTTTGAGTATACGTGCATTATACCCTTCTCCGTATTTTGGGCCTTGGGCCTCTATTTACTGGACTTTATTGGAACCGCTCTACAACAAATTAGGAGTTAGCTTTATGGATTTGATATGAGCATTACCTGCTGTAAATGAAAATGCTATTGCCTTTTTAACATCCTTACCATGTGTCATGGATGTTATATTAATAAAAAATAAGATAAATTTTAAATTTATAAATAAAAAATTTATTTAATAAATATATATTTTAAATTGAAAATATAAACTTATGACAAATAGTATCAAAGTTTATTAAATTTTTTATTGAGAGAGATATTAGAGTTGAGATAAACTTATATCAAAATGGATCTCTTTTTTTTTAGATGAAAAAATCAATACAACGAGAATATTACACAATTAGATAGTGTAGAATATTATGAATCTTATATCGAGTTTTGACTTTATAAATAAAGATTTTTTTGTACTTAATAGATATTTTTCAAATTGAAAAATATAGACCCATGACATATTAAAAAAAAAACATTAAAAGCACCTCATTCATAAATCTCATAAATGGGAGAGTAATTGATTTTATTTTCAATCACTAGATGATGATGATGGGGGATGAATGCTTAGCTTAGAGGATTGGACATTGGAGTTTGCCCAATGTCTTTGGAAAATTACCATGGGCAAGAAGGTGTGGTTTTATATTTTTAGGTAGGAAAGGTTCCTTTTTGGTTGGTGATGGCCTCTGTCATTGCATTATTACAAGCTTAAGGCATAGATTTTAGCTCATTAATTTCACATTTCCATGTACGTTATAGGGGAAAATTAAAGCACCACAAAGAAGCAATACCAAATGCACAATTATTGTAGCCTGACAAGTCGGGGGAAGATCACACGTCCATACCTAACAGATGCATGGAAGGGTTGGCATCTACCACTGTAAATTCACCTTGTTTTTGTACATGCAAAGTGGCATACGCCCAAAAACCAACTTTGACACTATTGGCTGACATCAATATATATTAATAATTTTAAAAAATATTCACATTATTAAATAAAAATATATAAAAATGTGACATTAAAATAAGCACTTAAATAAATAAAATAAATATATGATTGGATAATATACTTAAAATATTTGAATATCTCATCACTGATAAAATCATATGTAGTGCTTTCTTTACTAACATGTATTAGATTCCGTGACGACGATAAAAAATCAAGATATATAGTTCATGTTAATTGATTATAACGCAACTATTAAAACTAATAATATTTTTTTTATTATTTTATTTTTATATGATGATGTAATATGTTTATATATTTATTTATACCATAAATCACTTTACTTACTTTTAAAGTAGGGTTTTATGGGGATTGTGATTGGGATTTAATTGCTTGACAAGTGTCTATTATTATTGAAAATAGACCTAATTAAACTACTCCCAATTGGCATAATAAAATACTACAACATGTGTTGCATAAGCTTCACATTTAAATTTCAATTTTAGTTTTATTTTTGTAAAAATTGCTATATCAATTTTTAATTTGTTGCTTTTCTTGCTTCCTATAGCTAGCTGTCTGTCCTTTTTGCTAATGAATCTTTTAAAGGAACAAATTGCTTGCATTTGATACAATGCATGAATTTTTATTTTAGTATAGGAAGAAATATATAAAAAAAAATGGGAGCAAAAATAGAGAAAAATAGATGTTTGGATCAAGGTGACAGTACATTTGGGTTTTATGGCTTGAGTTTTGGCACAGCTGGAAGATGCCAGGCCTGGCCAATGCAAGCAAAACGTGCATGGAATGCTGTTTCTTTGGTTAATTAATTAGGCACCTATGCTTCATCATTTCCATAACCAAGTAATTAAATTAAAAATTTAATAACATTATACCTAGGGATTCAGTTTAATTTGTCTCATTAAATTATCTTATTCATAGATAGTTAGATATGAAATACATAAAATATAATTATTGCAGGCGTGAAAGTTACTGGAGGTCTGCTTCCTCCCACCCAACCCTCCCCACCATTCCAAGAATATATCAAATGAAAAGGAAATCATGATTAATTAAATAATTTTGTTGTTAATACATAATTAAATAGATTAATTTAAATTATCAAGATCCTTGAGTTTGCCTTGAAGACTGACTTTAAATCATATAAAAGGAAAATTCAATTCAATGTATAATGAAGATACGCCGCCTAGACTTACATTGAAAGGACATTGTTAGGTGAAAATGCATGCATTTTCTGAAGCGTAGACAATCTCTGGTGCGGTGAGGTAGCCATGAAAGGACGATTTCAAAAGGTTTCTTTTATTATTTATAAATTAATATTGTCGTATTGACTCATCAGCTCACCAAGATTTCTTTCACACGTAGCTACAAACTTTTGAACACTGGAATTTTGCATGTTGAAAGATTTTAATTAATAGCTGAAAATTGTTTAAAGATATGGGCAATTAATTAGTCAGCCAATTAACCACTGTTTAGTAATTCTAAAAGGAAGAAAACTTCAAAGAAAGTGGGAATACAAAATGGTTTTTTAATTGACATTAAGGAGAAAGGAATCCAATACTAGTCTATAATTTGCATGGGTGTTATTTACTTGATCAAAGGAAGTACTTTACTTGACTCCCCTTTTGCATCCCTCCAGGATTGAACAAGGACCTAGATGGTACAAATTCAATGTTTTAATTACTGACTTTTCCTTTTTAATTTTGGGAAAAATATGTTTTTGAAAGTCTTCTTGTCCATATGAAAAAACAAACAATTTAAGGGTCTGTCATTTCTCAACAGAGGGAAATTGAACAGTAACCATGGATTGTCAGAAGAGGAAAATGAACAGTCACCATGGATGGACTAGATGATCACTTCTTTTGTTGGTGTTGTTATCGTTGTTACTGTACCTATTTACAAAATTATTATTCTGTTTAAAAAACATTTAAAATCTTAATACAATTTTAGGTTATTCAAATCTAAACTTGAAGGCTTGAATCTAGACTACAAGCTATTAGTACTGCAAATCAGCGGCCTACAAAGCCCGAATTTCTCTGTTTAATAAAAATGGTAGTCGAAGTGACATTTGCCTTTCTATGATACAGAGTTTTCTGAAGTTTACTAGTATTATTCATTTTCCTGAAAGAAGAAAAAAAAGACAATGAGATAGAAAACGAGGGAGACAGGAAGAAAATTAGCTTTGAAAATGTGTGAATGCAGGAGGAATATAGGGCTTGTAGAGGGCAGTTTGCAATAGTCGGTCAGGTCATAAGTCTTCATGTTTCTTTGCACTCGAAAGAGACCAGGTCTTCCTTGCACCATAAAGCAACAAAAGAAGAAGGGTTGGTCAGAAATAACTGTTCCAAGAGTTCCAGCTTCACCAGTCACCACCTGCCTCATCAGAAGCTGCTTTACATTGACCAACAACATCAGATCATGACAATTCAGATACCCTAAATTTCAACCATGTAAAGAATATGAAGAAGCAGGGAAATAGGGAAGAAAATTAATTCGACATTAGCGATAGAAAAACTGGGTTCCTCATGAGATCGACTTGTAAGTTCCTAGTAGGTATTGTCACTGCATTTAACAGTACAAAACCTGTCTAGCAGGAAAACAGTTCTTTATTTATTTAGCTTTCCCTTCGAGCGAACTAATTAATGTAGTAATATACATATAGCTCAAATCTAGTCTTATGTAATTAATGGCGGCGAAATAATTGAAAGCAGCTGTTCTTTCTATGAATTGATGACAGAAAAACACTGGACGCAGAAATAATATCTAATGAATAAAATTTAGACGAAAAGGCGCGCAATAACCAGACAATTGTCTGTGCTAATAATTTCACGTGGAAGGAAAAGGGCAAGAAAAATTAAGCAACAGTTTAATTTATTATTATTTTTGGCTTAAATAGTTAGTAAAATAGTACAAACGAGAAAAAAGCAATATATTAGAATCAGAACGAGTGAATAGCCTTTCTCTCTCTAGAAACGCGGGAAACAAACAGGAAAGGGCAAGGATTTACTTTCTCTCTCTCTCTCTATATAGGAAAACGCGGAAAATATATTGCGTTTGGCAGCAGCAGTCAGTCGTTTCCACGTTCCTCTCCGTCCTAACAGGATGCTTTCATTGAAAAGACTTATGGTAGTACCATCATTTATCATTCTTTGATTTCTTTATTTAATTATTTCCACGTTGCAAGTTTGTTATGACCCTGACATTTTTTTTTCTTTGACAAAATTAAAAAAAAATATCAACTTTTTATTCTCTTTGACATTGAAAAAGAAAGCAACCCAAGCTTTGATTTTCAACTTTCCTTGAACATTCTTTCTGGCTATTTCATTTGCTTTGCTTTTACTTTGCCTATAAAAAAGGTTGGGTTAGTTTCTGTTTTCACAAACACAAAGCCAAAAGCTTGTTTTTCTCTGCCCTGTTTTTCCTGTTGTCCTTTTTTCGTTTTAAGCTTTCTTTTTGCAGAGAGCGGTATTGGGTGGAGAAGAAAGAAAGTCTTGGTCTTTGTTATTGCAGAGAACAATGATGAACGGTGGTGATTTAGTGAATAACAAGTCCGCTGTTGGTGGCGGTGTTGAGGATATGTACGGTGAAGATAGTGCCACGATGGATCAGCCTGTCACTCCTTGGACTGTCTCTGTTGCTAGGTGAGTTACCCACATTTCTGCACCAAAGCCTACATTCGTTTTTTGTTTAGATTTTTGGTTTGTTAAAACTTGAAGGTGATATTTGTTTCATCTGATGTTTGTTAAAGTTGAACTACTAGTAATAATTGTCATTCAGACATTTTAGATCTAAAACAATTTTAATAGTAATCTGCAAATTACCAAAGATCATTCCTTGTTGATCTTTGCAGATAACGTTTGTGTTGGTAATATAACGACAAAAGTTAAATCTTCTATCATATTTGTCTGTTCTGTCAATATTTGTTTTTTCTACAAGACTGCAAATTGCACCACTACATTTGTCCCTGTGGTTTCTGTTGTTTACATACTTACTCACTGCCATAATAGAAAACGTTAATGCTTGATTTTTCATTTTGTGTCTAATAATTTCAATGATTATATAATATTTTTTCTTGGTTTTTAATGATTTCAATAATTTCATGAGAATAAAGGGGAAAAAACTGAAACTTGCAAACAAAGGGATGCCTTGTTAAGATAAACAGAAAAGGTACTGTTATTTCTTCCTTTTTATGCATACATATAAAGTTTAGATCTTTCTTACTCTTGTCGCAGTGGGTATTCCTTGATGCGGGACCCACGTCACAACAAAGGGCTGGCCTTCACTGAGAAAGAGAGAGATGCCCACTACCTGCGTGGCCTTCTGCCCCCTGCTGTTTTCAGTCAGGAGCTTCAGGAGAAGAAGCTGATGCATAACCTTCGCCAATATAAAGTTCCTTTGCAACGATACGTGGCCATGATGGATCTTCAGGTACTTGTTCATGTGTTGCATAGCCCACATTGGGAGTTGATTCAAGCGAATTTAAAGTGTTGTTTTGAGTTCTTGCACTTTCAATTGAATCCATGTTTGCTATGTTAACACATATCCAATGAACATGAGTGCGGAGGTCTGATTCTTTAAATATATGAAGAAACTTAAAATTATTGAACGTATTCACGTGGGACATATATTTGTATTCAAGACTCCCTCCCTCTCGAGTCCGTGTAACATAGCATGTTTGTGTCACAAAGGCTAGTGATATGACAGCTATTGACAACTTAACTTTACTGATGGTCTATTGCATTTTGCAGGAGAGGAATGAACGACTTTTCTACAAGCTGCTCATTGACAATGTGGAAGAACTGCTCCCAGTTGTGTACACTCCAACAGTTGGTGAGGCTTGCCAAAAATATGGGAGCATTTTCAGGCGCCCTCAGGGTCTTTACATCAGTTTGAAAGAGAAGTATGCATTTGATTGTGCCCTGTGTATGTATTTCCTCTTATATGTTGTTGTTGCATAACAATAACTAAGCCTCACATTCTCTCAGGGGGAAGATTCTTGAAGTATTGAAAAACTGGCCTGAGAGAAGTGTTCAAGTTATTGTTGTCACTGACGGTGAGCGAATTTTGGGACTTGGTGATCTTGGTTGCCAGGTAATGCTATATTTGTATTGAAGTAGTGAGTCAACTGGAACAGTGATCCTCTCTCTTATAGACCAACTTAATGATTTTTAATATTATGATTGTTTTCAGGGAATGGGTATACCTGTAGGAAAACTTTCCCTGTACACAGCTCTGGGAGGAGTCCGTCCCTCAGCAGTAAGCATTGTTAAAACCATTCTGTTGCATGATTGATTTTTTTTCCCCAATGGATGAGTTTGTAGTGAAAATTCGAGTTACAGTTATGCTGCAGTAGTTTCCTAATTGCATATACAAGTTTGATTCAAATTTCTATATTATTCACGCTTTCTGCAGCTTAACCTAACACTATAAATTATTTCCTAAATCAGCTACTGATATTTAATTATTTACAACCTTCATTCTATATTTACAGTGCTTGCCTATAACTATTGATGTTGGGACAAACAATGAGAAGTTGTTAAATGACGAGTTTTATATTGGGCTTAAACAAAGGAGGGCAACTGGACAGGTTTGGTGATTTTTCCTTTGTCTCTACATTTTTCCATCCAGCCATAGTTTACTATGCCGCATACTTAATCTGAAATGCTAAATTACATTGATTTCCATGGTATAGGAATATGCTGAACTTCTTCAGGAGTTCATGTCTGCAGTTAAGCAGAATTATGGAGAGAAAGTCCTAATACAGGTAATCATCAGTTCATACTCACTTTAGGCCTTTACTTCTGGATTTTTACATGCTCTGTTCTCTGAATAAGATAAGGATGATTTTCAGTTTGAAGATTTTGCAAACCACAACGCATTTGAGCTATTGGCAAAATACAGTTCTACTCATCTTGTTTTCAATGATGATATACAGGTGATCCTCTCTAACTAGATTCCTCTTCTGTTATTCATTAATGATGGTAACGTTATTTTAGTTTTGAGAAATATCCGTTCTTATTTGGTAACTCCATAATGGCAGGGCACAGCGTCTGTGGTGCTGGCAGGGCTTATTGCAGCCCTGAAATTACTTGGTGGAACCCTTGCTGACCATAGGTTCTTATTCCTCGGTGCAGGAGAGGTAAGGCTCAATTAACACAATACCATGAAAGAAACTTAACTTTTCTAGACAATACCTACTTCTAATTAGTCTCTTCAAATTTTATCATTTTTAGTAGTTTTTTTTTCCTTTATATCAATTAACCTTTCCCCCCCTTTCCTCCAGGCTGGAACTGGTATAGCTGAGCTTATAGCTCTTGAGATGTCAAAACAGGTAAAAGCTTTATGCATTTCCATTGCTAAACATTTGTTTCCTCAGAAAATCTTTGTGGTTAAATATATGCTGTTTCTTGACAGAATGGAAATCCAATTGAAGAGAACCGCAAGAAGATTTGGCTTGTAGACTCAAAGGTATTGTGAATCTCAGATAAACATCTTCTGGAAAGATTCTGTCTAAAAATGGCAAATATTTGTCCATCCTGTCTCACTCTGATGAGTTTTAAATTGTGTGGCAGGGATTGATTGTTGACTCTCGTAAGGAGTCACTTCAACACTTCAAGAAACCTTGGGCTCACGAGCATGAACCTGTCAGGGAACTCGTAGATGCTGTCAAGGTGTGTAATTTGTCTTGAATTATTTATCTAGATTTCCAGAAAAAACTGTTTCGGGGGGCTTTTATGATTTAACTTGCCTTCTCACCTTTGCTCTTGATTACTCAGGCAATCAAGCCAACTATCCTGATTGGAACATCTGGAGTAGGAAAACAATTCACAAAGGAGGTTGTTGAGGCCATGGCATCCTTCAATGAGGTACTCTCTCTCTCTCTCTCTCTCTCTCTCTCTCTCTCTCTACCTATATGTCTCTGTGTATATTTTAATATCATCTCAACAGAAGAGTGTTGTACTAATCGTGATGGTTGACTTGCAGAAACCTCTTATCATGGCTCTATCCAACCCTACCTCACAAGCCGAGTGTACTGCAGAAGAAGCATATACATGGAGTGAGGTATATGACCTGCAATGTTCTTCTATGTTCTGTAAGCTGGGACGCCTTGTTATAATGTAGCATGGAGTTGTATGAGTCCATAAACCTTCACCTTTGTCCACCTTTTATCTGCAGGGTCGAGCAATCTTTGCCAGTGGAAGCCCATTTGACCCCTTTGAATATGATGGCAAAGTCTTCGTGCCTGGCCAGGTTCTGTCTATACCTGAAGCATCTTGAAGTATGGAATTTATTTGCACCCAAAGTTTTTTATACTAATTGTTATCTCCTTGTTTGATGTAATTCAGGCAAACAATGCTTACATATTCCCTGGATTTGGTTTGGGTGTGATAATTTCTGGTGCAATTCGTGTTCATGATGACATGCTTTTGGCAGCCTGTAAGTGCATGAAATCCACTTAAGATGAATAAACCTTGTGAATCTGTTAAACTAGATCCGTCAAGCCACACTCACACTGCCTCTACAAAATTTTTCTGTATATAATACCCTTTTTACCACTAGTTACTATTCATTTGGTTGTTTTTCCACCCATACAAACGGTAAGAAATTGGACTTTAACTGCTTTTCTCTTTTTTCCCTCGTGACAGCGGAAGCTTTGGCTTCACAAGTGACAGAAGAACACTTTGCAAAGGGACTGATTTACCCACCATTCTCCAATATCAGAAAGATATCAGCCAATATTGCTGCTAAAGTTGCAGCCAAGGCATATGAACTTGGTGAGTTCCAACCTGAAACCTGATGCATGATCATGCTTTGTCTTTGCAAGTTGTTTACCTCTTATTAAAATCACTGCCCTCCGTATTCATCTCCATTTGCTTTTTGTTCCTAGGTCTGGCTTCTCATCTTCCTCAGCCTGAGGATCTCGTTACCTATGCCGAGAGCTGCATGTACAGCCCAATCTACAGAACCTACCGTTGAAATTGAAGCAGAGTCCTATACTTTGTTAGTCTGCGATTTGCAGGCCTCACTTCGTTTTGCTCATGTTTTCTCCCAATTTTCCTTTAATTTTTTTTCTCCGTTTCTCTATGGCTTATTTATTGTTTATCCCTCCTGTTTCTGTGATCTCTCTAGTTCTTGTAATTGAGGTTCATGGCATAGCTATTAGGACCTATTAATTTTTTTTTTTCGTTCGATAGAAATTTTTGGGAGAATACTGTTATATTTTAGTTCTATTTGAAATGAATCACAACATTCAGTCCTTTTTATCTTTCTTCTTTTAAGAAATTAACATAATCTTTTCAACGACTTCTGTTACATATTTGTTGTATCATGAATCAATGCAATGTAAATGTATAAATTTTATACATTATACGTTATCATTAAACAAAATATTATTAACAAACTTCATCGGTCCTCTCCCTCAAACCAAACAGAAAAGAAATGTCCGATCCAGATGCTTTTGAGCTTCTGCATCAGCTAAGGTCGATTCGAGTCAGTTGTCTGCTTGGCCAGGCTTTAATTTTCTCCAATAAGGCCCTTGCAATCATACATGCTATGCCTTACTTAGAACAAGCAGCATGAAATCTGAACCTTTCATTTATAGGGCTGCATTTCATACAAGATAGTGCTCCCAAGTTAATATACATAATATAATCTCTGATAGTCTTATCTGCATATTAACTAGAGAATATTTTAGGGGGTACATGATAACACATGGTTTCTAACGCATTTCATCCGTAACTTGACAACTCCTTATCCCCCAAAAGGATTTAGGCTTCAGCTTCTCATTTGTTGCAGTGAAAAGCCACCCCATATGGGTTTCACAAGACGCACAGTTTATGATTGTCCATGCATACCTGTGGGAAGCAGCAATTAAGTTAATCGTGGTTATACAGCCAAGAAAAAAAGAATTAAGAGAATGATCACAAGATAATGTTGCCATTCATGGAGATGTCAACAAGTTTTGCATATTGATTGATTCAGACCTAATTTGCTGCTTTACTGCCCTCTCATCTATAAAGTTCCTCCAACTACTACATACACCAACACAATTGTCGTAAGAGAGTAAATGCCTGATTGTCAATGTACCTCATTTACAATAAAAAATATGAACTTGCAAATGACACAATGCAAATCATGAAAACCAGAACTGAATCACTTTGCTTTTGCCAACTATATCGACATGATATCTTTCCTGTCCTGTCCTCTTCATAACAACTTGTTACTAATCATTACCAATTAATCTCCAAAGGTATACTAGGGGATCGTGACCACCTAGATTTTAAACAAAAGTCAATTACCCCATAAGAAGACATTATCACCCCATTAGTATTAATCCCAAGGCAAAATGAAGTAACAATCCAATATTTGATGAAAAGGTACCAACTATCCAATTTATTTAGTGTAACACCATTAGCTTCATACTAGCCTTTGAGAGAGAGAGAGTTTAAGACCATACCCAGGAAACCAGCTGAACTCTTTAGCCGGTCGGCCTCTGAGCGATAAGCCATTTGCTTTATAAAAAGTCATTACCTCATGCACAAAGCCATGTGGGTTAACAAAAGCACCCAAAGGACCATCACTAGACATCACCAACATATCTCTGCGCCTAGCAAGTAAATTCTGCAAAAAAAAAAAAGAACAATCAAATAGAAGTTGGTAAATAATAGCTCATAGAACTGCATATTTCTGCAGTATCAACAGGAGAAAGCATGAAATCATATGGCATGGGTATTAAAACACACACAATGTGAGATGAGTAGAGAGAGCAGTACCTGACAGATCTTACATCGAATACGATCAAGTCTTTCAAGTAATTCAATTTCCCGACGCAGTCTATATGAAATGCCATCAATTTCCAGAAGCTCCTGCCTTGTAGGTTCAGAGATGGGAATTTTACTTGCAATATAGAAAGACAAAAGATCAGGCTTCTTCACAAAACCATCCATGCTCGGAATCCCAACTATTTGTTTCCACATAACTGCAAAATAGCAATACCAAAAACATTTAATATTAATGAGATTTGAAAAGAATACCATGCCAAAAGGAAACAACAACATAACAAGCCAATTAGCAAATAGGAAGAAAATTTTTACTAAATAATGACTGTGTGTTTGTATATATAAAGTATATTCCTTTATTCCTTTTTCAAATGTATCACAGAACAAAATGTTCTCATTTCAAGCTCACAAAGCATGATAGAAAAAGGGAACGCCAATAGTACCAAGAAATGACCAAAATGAGTTGTCTTAAATTAAATTCTGAAAACCTGCCATGCAGTAGGAACCACATATTAATTTCTTCCAGAAACATTCATTCTAAATTTCAAACCTAAACTCAACACCAGGCAAGGACAAACAATATTCTCATGATTCACAAACTTAGTAAAATCTCCAAGGTAAACAAAGTGCATGAGGTGCTGGCAAAAGAACATAAGGAAACAACTAATATCAAAGTTGAAATACCTGCTGCCTTTTGAGCAAGACAATATGAGTCATACATACGATATACCCAATAGGGCCAGAATGCTCTTGAAACTGTACATGAAAGATGGGACCTTCGTCTTGCCACTTTGTGAGCTATGGATCCCAAGCCAGCATTTCTAATTTGTTTCTCATGTTTAGAAGGTGATGAACCCATGAAGCTGGAGTCATTTCTGCACAGACTTCCTGATTGGATGTCTGACTCAGACAATTTATTGTTATCATCACTATTTGTTGATTCATCCGTCCTATCAGACTCATAACAGGCACCAATTGCAGATTGATGAATTCTCTTTTCTGTTTGAGAAAGTTCATTCTCAAAGCTTTCCTCTGAATTCGCTTCTGAATTATTTTCCTCATTCCCATCTTTACGTGATGAAGCATTTAAAGATAGCATCTGTTGACTTTGCAGATTACTAAATGGTATCAATTTTGCATATGCATCTCGAGGGGTCCTTAATGGCACATCTTCGTCAATAATTTGAATCTCTCCACAAGGCTTAAAAAATTGAGAATTTATGGCAAATCAGCATTCTATCATACATGCACTAACAAGAAAGCTATTTGAGAATATTTTCGAAAAAACGAGATTATTCTTACCGCTCCTTCCGCATCAATCCAACGGCGTCTCAGACGAAACCGCTGTTGGCCACGAGTAACCACATTAATCGTACCATCCTCTAGCGAACGAAATTGCCGAATCTGCAAATGTGAATTAATACATTTAAGTAAAACTATTATAAATCAATCTTAGTCAAGCTTAACATAATTATCAAATGGGAGTGGAACTTACAAGGTACTCAAAAGGGTACACCACAACACATACACAGACATTCTCTAACCACATAATTTTCTCTGGTCCAACAAAATAGTGTCATCAAGCAGAATTCAGTTTGACAACACATATTCATTGGCAAATAGCATTTTCCTCACCTACTTATTTGCACCTATAGCTAAACATGTTCACTGCTTTTGTTCAAATCTTGCATACCCTTTTTCTTTGTGTAGTGTCTGGTGTGTGGGAAAAGGAGGTGCCTTATTTTTGGTGCTAATAAATCTTAAAAGCAACTAACTAAGCACTTTATGTAAATGAACCTCAAACATATAACAACTCTTATGCAATTTTATATGTTGTTAGAAATTAAATGTAACCCAAATGCAAGTTGAATGCCTATCAGCAAGCAAAAATATATAACCATTGGGTTTTAGCAAGTATACCTCTGCAGTTGTCCCTATTTTTGCGAGCCTTAATCGTCCATCGTCAGAGTCCCTGTAAACACGGACCTGGATAAAGATTCAACCCTTGTTTCATTATCCAAGAAAACAATCAACAACAACGAAATCACATACACAGAAAAAGCAAAAAAGAGAAGATATGATGGGAGTTCACCTACCACACCCATGGTATAAGGAGCATCAGCCTGAGTCAAAGCTCTGTTAACTGCAGCTACAAAGTTGGGTTGAATAACTCTAAGTGGGAGTGTGGCCCCTGGGAACAGGACTACCCCTGGTAAATATTAAACAAAAGAGTTTAAATCGTTTGATCTGTTAATAAAAAAAAGGAAGAATATTAAGAGAAGCAAGAAAACATCCCAAATAATATAAAACCATGTTATTCAAAAACTGATCATCAAATACTGATTATTGAGCTCCAAAGCTATAATAAATGGATCAGACTTATGTAGGATGTTTCCGAAGCCAACCTGTCACAGTGGCACATGAATCAAAATCCGCTAAATAAGTTAAATATTTAATGTTCCTAAAAATTTTCTGATTTTATCTATCAACAACATAAGAATATGATGAACCAATACTGCGAGAACCACAATTTATGAACACATATAATCACAACTTATACCAAGCGATGTGAACCAAAAATAAATGGAATATGTAAATACCTTCAAGATAGAACAATGGGAGGTTCAAGATGGCACCCCCTTCCCAAAAGGCAAAACTGTGGTGTGTATCATCAACCTCTGCCATATGCATTTGATAAAAGTCAATCTCAAACTATTTGGAAAAAAATGACCAAAATCTTTATAATGGTAAAATAGAGAACATGATTACCGCCGAGATATGAATGTAAGGAAGTCAAATCGGTATTGAAGGTAAACTTGTCAATCGAAGGAACGCCACTACAGTATGAAAAAACAAATTTAGAAATCAATAACAAACTGTAGCAACAGAACTGAAATAAATCTTAAAAATGCTTTAATTCAAACTAAATACCGTTCAATATTAAACGTAGCATTTGTTTTTACACTAAAAGACTGAATGATCAAAAATAAAATAGAAAAAACAATAAAATTAGCTGCAAAAGAGTTCAATCTTCAATATTAATAAATTTAATTTTTCCTAAACCCCTCCTTAGTCCAACCAAAATTAAGAACACTGTAATAAAACGACGATAAATTCCAATTGCAACAGCAAACAGCGAAACATATGGTGGAAAAAGAGATGATATGGTTGGAGTGGTTACGTCGCGTCACGATCATCATCGGACGATTCAGCAAGACCTTCGACTTCTTCGATCTGTAACTCCTCGTCATCGAGCTCTAAAATCTGTTCGATCTGTCGCCTCTCTACTTCGTCTTCCATTTCCTTCTTTTGAGTGCTTTGCTTTTTTTTTTTCTTTTTGCACTATGTTATTAGGGTTTTGTTTGGAAATGAAGGGACTTATGAACGTTTATGTTGTCCCCGCCATCGTAATCGTCCCCCGCCCCACGGAAATTTTCCCTCGAGAAATTGAAGAATTGTTCGTTCCTTCTTCAAACACTCTCCTCCCTTCTAAAAAAGTTCACTCGAAATCGATTTAAATACCCATTACAGCAAGCCCGTGATAAATCTAGACATCTGAAAGCGTATAAACAAACCGTTCTGGGCCGGTTCAGGAAAACAAATTTTCTTACCTCATGTTGCGTGCTGCAGTTTTATTTCGTCATCCGCTCTTATTGAAAACTATATTACCAAAAGAAAAAATTGTTTTATAGTCGTGAGTATCATAGTTAAATAATATTTTTTATAAAAAATAAATAAATAAAACAGCTAAAAAATCTCACTCTTATCCATGGAATGAGTATTTCAATAATTGGATTTAGTAGTCATTCATTTTCACAAATTAAATTTTATCTTGCTTTCTTACAAATAGATTTCATGTTTAATAGAGCTATTTCTTTTTTTATATATTTTTGGACCGACCTCTAATTTAATTTTTTTCATTCTTTTAAAAAAATCAAATCCATTGTTTCTCATGGTGGACTTAATTATTAAAAAGAATCTTTAAGATTGTGCCAAAGTTGTATTGATAGACTTAGATGTTGAAAAATGCATACTCTTATTTTGGTGTAAAAAAAAAAAAATGTTACCATGTCAAGAGGTGAATGAAATAAATCTCATCATTAAAAAAGTCAACATATAAATTCATTCATATTTTATACAAACAAAAATAAATTTTTAAAAAATTAAATTATGAGATGTCTATAGAAGATTTTGTTTAACTTAAAAATTGGGTTTTCAAAAATTTGATTTACAATTGGATGGTAAGTTAATTGTGCAAGCTATTACTACTCTTAGGGTATTCTTTACTCTAATTTAGACCTAATTCAAATCATTTATCAACTTCTTCAAAAGCAGTAGGATGTTAATATGTAATACATTTTCAGAGAGAATAATATGACAGTTAATTGTATGGTTAATAAAAGTTTATCCTGTTCCTTCGATAGATACTAAAAAATTATTATTAAACAATGTATTCAAAATTTATTTTTTTTATCTAATTAGAATTTAATGAATTTTTTCTTTCCAAAAAAATTTCAAATAAGAAGTTGGTAATGCAACAAAACAAACTTGAGTTTTTGCCTTGTCCCGTTCAAGCACCAATAACTTACTATATTGATATTACATGAACAAACTTAGTAATCAATTTGATATCAAAGAATAAAAATTAAGATTGATAAACAACTCTTTGAAATATTCTAATATTATAAGTAACAAAAGCTTATGTTAATATATGAAATACTGAATTTTGATTTTAAAATACATAATACATTATACAATTTTCATCTTAATAATTTAGTACCATATAAGTTACACACGAAAAGTTAAGGTGTTGAGATATTGCATTGATCTCTTTTATACATCAAATATAGATAATTACTCAAAATATATCATATGAAACTCATAAACAACTGTACCATATAGTAGTTTGTTTCCATTAACAAGTTATAAGTTATACATGAACACAGACATTATTAATTAGCTTTAAAATAATGCTAATAACAATACTGATTATGATGTTTATTGTTAACAAATATCATGTTCCAAATGTTGATAATGATTAAAATGATCTTAGTATTTATATGTCATGATAAAGAATACGGGGCTCACGTAGGCAAGGAAGAACGGAGCTATCATCCTAGCCGCTAACTTAAAGGGTGCACCGAGGCTAAACGAAAATAAACCTATACAGGCTAAAAGAAACGGAACGAGGCGCGAGTACGCGGCGGACCAATCTCCTTGCATTGCCTTACTCGTTTTTGCTGGATAAATCTTCCCAAACACAAATTTGAAAAACCCCCAGAAAACGAAGGGAGTGGAAAAAATGGGGCGCGCAGTTCTCTCGCAATTTCTCATGCTTTCCAATTCCACTCCTCGCCTCTCATCTTCACTGTACTCTCTCCTCCTCGCTTTATCTTTAAATCGATGAAATTGAAATTTTCATCCATTTACAGTTTGGTTTGGCTTTTGTACTAAAGCAGGTCCTGTGGTGGACTTCGAAGTAAATACTTGAAAAGACCTGGATCAGTCTGTCATAATCGTGCTACAAACGGAGACCATGGCGCTGGTTTCCGTTGCTGCTGCAGTGTCTCGCTCTCGCAGCCGGCCACTCCAGAGACTTCTTCGAGCTCGGTCAAGTAATCTCCTTTCCATAGTTTTACTTGTTATCTTATTTCCAATGGAGTTAATGGAAAGAAAATTTTAGAGTTGAATGGTACTTGACAAGGCAATGGTACTATTTAAGCTTGCTTTTAACTGTTAAATTGAATTGTTGAAAACTGAAATGCCAGAATGTGTTTGGTAATCTAGAATAACTTTGCTTACGGCCTGTTTGGAACCAAATTAAATTTTAATTCATTTCATTTGAGGATGAATTTTATAGTAAAATTTTCTCACAATTGATTTTTTTCATTTTTAAAAAAATAAACCGTTTGCTGGATTCCAAATTAAGCAAGTTATAGATTTAAAATAACTTTAAGTTTTGATTTCTTTACTTTAATTTCTAGCATTTTACTAGAACTGCGGTTTAGCAAATGTATGTTGAATTACTTACAGGAAGAGAATAGTGTCGGGAGTCCAGCCAACAGGAGCTATCCACCTTGGGAATTATCTTGGAGCCATAAAGCATTGGATTGCCCTTCAGGTTCTCCTGATTTTCTCCACTATATTTCAAGGTCAAACGTGCTAAGTGCTGTGGATAATATGGTTTTTTGGCTTCAGCAATGTAGCTACTTCCGATGAAGTGTATGGAATATATTCTCGTTTCTTTTTTGATCAACTTTAGTTGCTTTTGAAGTTACCGTCAATCACTGATGTTTTCTCCTTGACTAGTGCAATATTTCTAGATTTCCATTGGGAAATTGATATGTGCCATCTTTTAATCTTTCTTGGCCAGCTTATTCTGTATGTATTTGTTATTCTTGTGAACGATTTTGAGAATCTCCTACAATTAGGTTTTGTGGCAGGCTCTGGATGTCAAATCAATTTTGGATTCATGAACTAGACAATTGAATGCCTTCAGCATTCTGGATTTCAATGAGAACAGAATAAAATGAACTAGTTAGTGGCTGTCTTTGTTATTTTAGATGTAAACGGACACTTAACTGTTAAGTTTAACTTTTTGCATGATTAAGTGTTTCTTGATGTGGTTCTGTTTTTGCAGAACTCCTATGACACTCTCTTTTTCATTGTGGACCTCCATGCGGTATGCTTGAAATAATATCTATGCTTATCTGTTAAAAGTTCCTCATTGACATTGCTGTCTCACAATCAATCTTTTACATTGAGCTGCTTTTTGAAAGCAATATTTCTCTTGATTCTGTATGACTATTTTGCTATTTTTAATTGCTTTATTTTTCTCCACATGCAGATTACGTTACCATATGATACACAACAATTATCTAAGGCAACAAGGAATACAGCAGCTATTTATTTGGCATGTGGTGTAGACACCACAAAGGTGTGCTACAACTTTTGGTCCTTTATGATACATTTTATGTGTCTTATTTCACTATATGTTTGAATCTTTAATAGTAAGAAATAATCCTCATTTGGACATGCAGGCTTCTGTTTTTGTGCAGTCACATGTCCGTGCCCATGTAGAATTGATGTGGCTACTGAGTTCTGCCACACCAATTGGTTGGCTAAACAGAATGATTCAGTTTAAAGAGAAATCTCGCAAGGCGGTGCGTTTTTAGCTGTATGACAGCTCCATCTCCAATACTTATTATCATTATATAGCTCTCACTTTCGTTGGAGTTCTGTACCATAAGCTCTTACCTATAAAGTTTTTATTCCTGTGCATTTGGAGTTGGTCAAAGTGGGAGTGTTTTGGTTTTATTTCTTTTATACAAATATTAGGAGAAGAATTCACCTGGCATCTGATAAACTTTTTTAGTCTATAAAATCATCATTGAGCATTACCCCATATGCTTAGGTGCTGTCAATGTGTAGGCACCAATTCTCAATCATGCAGAAAAAGTTTAGTAAAAGAAAAAATCATGCTAGTGGATATCAACTCCTGGAAAAGTCCTTCACTCCATACCCTTTAGACCTTTGGTGGTATCACAATATTATCCAAAAAAAGAAACATAGTAGGGCTTGTAACATTCATGGAATATAGACTAATTTTATTATTATTATCACGGTAACAGAGGATTGTTAGTACTTTGTAGTAGAGTCATTATTTCATTTCAATCTTGTGTCTCTTATCAAATGTATGCTTTTTGTCTGTATAAATCAATTGTCTTCCTCTGTTACGGTTTTGCAGGGAGATGAAAATGTTGGGGTTGCTCTATTGACCTATCCGGTTCTGATGGCTTCTGATATTCTCTTGTATCAGGTGATTTGGGAAACATGAATATTATCCCTTATTGGGGCATGCAAATTACCTTGATAGTTTGAGTATTTTATCAGCAAAACATTGATAATAGTTTAATAAATTGCCCTGAATATGCATGACTCTTACGCAATTGCTGCATGCTTCTGCAGTCTGACTTTGTCCCAGTTGGTGAAGATCAGAAGCAGCATTTGGAGTTGACACGTGAGTTGGCTGAGCGTGTTAACTATTTATATGGAGGAAGGAAGTGGAAAAAGCTGGGAGGGTGAGACGAATTTGTATATTTTTGAAATATTCATTCAAAGAGTAGATTCATCATTATGTCTGTGCCTCTTTTTCAGTTGCTCTATATTGTCATCACTAAAGCTTTTATTCTTCTAATTTTTTAAATTTAATTTTGGTCACAGGCGTGGTGGTGCTATTTTTAAGGTGGCCTTTCTATACCGATACTTGGTTTAGATCTAGCTTATAAGTTCATGAATGATGGCAAATTATGAAATGTTCTTATCTAAGTTTATTCCCTTACAAAGGTTCCTGAGCCCCTAATACCACCAGCTGGAGCACGAGTTATGTCCCTCAGTGATGGTCTTTCAAAGGTTTTCAGCAATCTATGTTTTGATTTGTGAAACTTGCATGTGTTAGATGAATATAAGAGTTCCTGACTTACCCACCTCCTATATAATGCAATTCCTCTTTGATGAATTGCTGGAGGTTATCATATTGGTAACTCTTAAGACTTTAAGGATTGAGTACATTCTTTTACATATATTTCTTTGCTGCTATTGTTTTCAGTGACTTAGTAACATCTCAATGTAATGGTTAAGTTTAAACTCTCATTGCGGTCCAGGACGGATAGACCAAATGGTCTAAAGATGGCTTTGGTAGTATCTCTACATTTAGTTTTTGTGATAACTTATTCAATTAGCATCAGACATGTCTTTCCTACCTTCTTTTTCTTTTCCATTGCTTAGGTCTTAAGAATGCTTTCTTCAAACTCTAACCTAGTTACTTGTTTATATAAATAATCATCTTGCTTTGTGAATTATCTTTGACAAAGCTTTGCAGTCGGTAGCTGGGCATATTTAATCCTTATTCTTAAACGTATTATTATTATCCTAAATATAATAAAAATTCAATTCCCTTTTACAAAGTTGAAGATAAGAAAAAATGTGAAATCACCTTTCAACTTTTATTCATCTTGTAGATCTGGCTCTATGACCAGCAAAGAGGAAATAAAGAATAGCTGATGAAATTTTTATACTCTATTTGTTTGTTTTCTGAAATTATTTTTTCCTGAAAGTGACTGACATATTTCTGGTCCTCAATCTTACAGATGTCCAAGTCTGCACCTTCTGATCAGTCTCGAATCAATCTTCTTGACCCTAAAGATGTGAGTGGTTTAATACATTTCTTCCTTGCCTCACCCTGCAGTGTGTGTGTTTGTGTTTGAAAATTTGAAAGGTATTATAATTCATATGCATACTACAGTTGAATTTAGTAATTATGTGTAGAAATCTGCATGGTAATCATTGATGTCATGGGTCTTTATCTTGGATTGGGCTTCAAAGCTAATTTTGAGTTGCAGTATACTGGGGGTAAAAGAAAGGGTTCTTGTGGACCATCTTACAAAGTTTTTGCCTTGTAAGTTTATCTAATAAAGTTAATCCTAGCTTTTGTAATTAAGGAATATATACTTGTATGACTTCATGCGCTCATTTCAATCCCATGTAAAAGTTTGTGGAGCATAATTTGTTTTAAAGTTCTGTTTTTACCCATATCTTCGGTTTGATCTGAATTAATCTCCTTATTTTGGTGGTAGGTGATAGCAAACAAGATAAAGCGTTGCAAGACTGACTCTTTCCCAGGGTAAATTCCTAGTCTATCCAGATAATTTGAAGTTTTCCTTCTATTTTTATTTTTATTTTCTTTTTTAGATAATTTTTTTATATGAACAAGTGAATCTAATCTGAAGTCTTACAAGCCCATTTTTTGTTGTTTGTGTCTCTTCTGGCAATTCTTATAGCCTGGAATTTGACAACCCTGAACGTCCTGAGTGCAACAATCTTCTTTCAATATATCAGATAATTTCAAGCAAGACGAAAGAGGTTTGAAAATTAGGTGTTACTTAAGTTTGAGTACTTCATGTGTAGGACATTTGAAATTGCCATTCTGTTCATGTCCATCCAAGATAAATCAATCCTATAGTAATTTCACATTACATTAAAAGTACTCTGGATTATGAAGCTAACACTAAGCCACTGAATGGTTGATCAAGTCTTTCTGGTCATAACTTTTGCTTCAAGAAATGTGTCAGAGGATGTTCTCTGCATACAGTACTCTGAAATTAATATACACGGCTACACACACTGGAGTAGGTGTGAAATGTTTGAAGAACTAGATAATCTTTCTCTTCTTTTGAGTATTAGTACATTTTGTGCAGTATTCAACTTTGCATTTGAAATTCTTATTGATATTAAAATTGCTGCTGTGATATAAGAAATTGTGGAATCATCAATCAGTCTAGATAGATTAGGAGAGATTCAACACCTAATACTTGTCTTATTTTTCCTTCTTATTTCAGGAAGTTGCACAAGAATGTCAAGATATGAAATGGGGTTCATTTAAAACCCTCCTAACAGATGCATTGGTTGATCATCTGCATCCTATCCAGGTTCTTAGCACCATACACAGGGTGGTTTTTTGTTTTTATATTATATAAAGAAACTGGGTTATGGTGCATGATAGGAACATGTACATGCTATGCTGTTTTACATATAATTTGTCTTTGTTTCACTTGTGCATGTTATTTTCCCAGTGGACTTTAGGTGTTTATTTTTGTGTTAATACTTAATTCTAGAAATATATGTGAACTTAAGATTTATCATATTAAATGCTGGCTTGCAAATAATTCTAACCATAACAGTTCATATATTCGTGCGGAGGAAATGTACATTTATGGATGCTTTCTGTTGACTAATAAGTTTTGCTTCTAATCATGGTAATTTAGTACTAAAATCTTGTTGCTGATGTACTTGAAATCTAGTGAGTCCTGGCTATATCTTATTCCAGCTGTGTGGTCTACCTAGAAATCAACCATTTCTGCAAAATGATTATTGTTGTGAAGCTGCCTACAGGAGCCTAACAAACATAAATTCTAGTCAGGTCCATGTTGCTGCTTCAGTGTTGAAACCCCATTGGTGCCTAGATGGTATTAATGTTTGATTGGATTCCATCTTTGACAGTAGACAGCTTTTGTTTCTTTTCATGAATACTTTGTATGCACATGTAGGTTTCTTTTTTGCTTGATGTGCATGCAGTTGTTGTTTTCAGCCAAAGTTGTGACCATATTTGGTCCAATCATTTTGTTGATTGCATTGGTTTTACTCGTTTGGAAGCTATTGATTTTTCTTCCACTGATGATGTTCGATTATAAATGATTGGGGTGTCCCCATCATCAGTCAGATTTTCTGCTTTTGCAGGTTCGGTATGAGGACATTATTTCTGATCCAGCATATTTGGATGGAGTCTTGGCAGAAGGGGCTGAGAAAGCTGCAGCTATAGCGGATGCTACTCTCAATAATGTCTACCAGGCAATGGGATTCTTGCGTAGATGAGTGAAATGATTTGTATACAAACCATAACATGATTTTTAGATTATTCATCGTCACCCCCACAGTTTTTTGGAGTATATACCCATTAAAATGTTCTGAATAAGTGAAAAGTTTTTTATTTGAAGGTCCACAAATTCTTTGATGGAGTTCACTCAACCTCGCCTTTTCAGGCACGTGCCATTTATATTCCTTAATGTTCATTAAAGTTGGTGATTTATTGCCTTTTTCCCTAGACAATTTTTGCTGTATAAAATACACTGATTGCCTAATAGAAACTTGTTTCACTTTCATGTTTTTGAGTGGGTAAAAAATTTACTTTACTTGCAAATCTTCTTTAACTGTCATATTTATTTGCTGAAGGCTCATGTGCAGTGGTTTATTGACTGGTTAAGTTCTTATTTATTTAATTGTTTAGTGCAACACGAGTGTGCTGTTGTCATCAAAACCAGTTACAGTTCAGTGATTGTTGTGATGTTTTAAATGATTTTTCTGGAAGGACTTACAATATTGATAAGGTATTGATTCTATGCTTTAGTTAGAGAACCTAGAAAATATCCTCTAAAGTGTCCCAAGTCATTCTAAGGATATTGCCTTAAATAATCTGTATAGAGAAAACAGATAAAGATTCATCTAGCTTACCACAACTAGTTTGAGATTAAGGCTTGGTTGAGTTAAGTTTGGAAACATCAGAATTTGGATTTTTGAGAATTATTTCTTGGAAGCTTCATCTTTGTTAGAAGCAAGCATGCCACTACGTGTAGTGTTTATCATGTCCATGGTAAGATTCTTATCAGTATAGGAGATAGTGACAGAAGAGTGAATATCGATCCTTCCAGTGCAATTAAAATATCAGCAATTCATATTCTCATCTAATTCCACCCACCCACAGCCTTTCCTTTAACAAAGGAGAAGATGAGACCAAGCATCTATAAAAGACTATTTGAGGGAGACAGTGAGAGGTCGATGGAAGTCCCCTTCTACTCTCTTTCCCTCCCACTCTCTCTTCGTTGGGTGGCAAAGGAATAAAGGGAGCATCCTGTTCAACTCTTCCTTCTTTAACTTTTGGCTGACAGTTCCACAGAGAGATGTACAGAGAAAGATACATGACAAGGACCACTGTCTGCTCATGTAAAGGTAATGTTCTCATTCCAATCATTAACATAATTTTGGTCTCTTCTGTTTCACTTTTTTGGTTGCCGCATGGTCCTTTCAAGCTCCTTTTGGCATTCTCATTTTCTCTTGTTACATGGCTTCACTAATTAGAAGGACCTTTTTATACTAAAACAAACTAAAGCCAAATGTTATTATGAAATTGTGGTTTTGGTAATGAAATTTCTTTGACATAGTTGCCTGTACTTCTATCAATTGTTGACTATATCTAATCTAGTGGCAGCCATATGCTGATTTCATTTTATTTAAGACATTCCAATTCTAGGTGAGCCAATGACCATGTGTCTGTACCTTTTGTAAACATGTTGCTAGTTGCATATGGTTTCTACATTGGTATCCATTGAACTTTCTAGAGCATGATCTGTTTGACTGTACATTTTGCTTGCTTCGGATTCCACTCCCACAGAATTTTTTCTGCATGTGGTGCCCTGATCTGAAAGGTTGAATGCAATTTTTTTTTTCTAGTAATTGACTCGTGACAATGATTAGTTGCTTTCTTAAATTCTTATAATTAAGTAAATAACCAAGCGTTCTATAATAATGATTTTAGCATATTAGTCAGGAACTGCATCCTATTATGCATGACCAGGACATAAGGATGAGTTACCATCTTTCGAGTTTTCAACTTATAGCAATAATGGAAGCCTTCTTGAGTAATTCCTAGGAGCTCAAGTTGTTTGCTAAGTGTATACTTAGATGCTGAGTTTCTCGACGTCTTATGTTTGATTGAATAGTTTGAATCATCAAATAATTAATCATATTATTTGGTCTTTCACCAGCTTCCCCTGCTGGATTACACCCCTGCTGGATTATGTAATTTGACGGATTGCTTGGATGATGTTTGAAGCTTCAAACCGCGGACTCATATCTGAAAGAGCAACGTTTTCCTGAAACCGTACCAAATTTACTGGCTTACTGAATCTGGTATTGGTTTATCACTGGGATAGGATAAAGCTAATTTCATTCCTTCTTTCTACTTTTTAGCTTTAGTCTTTCAGTTAAAAGGATGAACATGGCAGCCATCAGCCATGCGTTCTTCATGTACTAATGTGTTGCCTGACTGGGTTTGTTCGCCGGTGGACATGTAACCCTCGGGGGAAGGTTTCCAGTATTGGTCGACAGCTGGGGTTGAACATGGCAAGGGGAACCTCTTATAGCGATCTGCTGTTTTTGGCCAACGTTTGTTAGCCACGTCCCAAAACCCAAAAGGTGATCTCCAGCTTTATGGTAGTCCATTTCATAAATAGTATATACTCCGTATTTTGCAAGTGGTCACATGCTTGGGCGAAGGGAAGAATATATATCTAATGCATGTTTATATATAAACAAACCGTAAGCTCTCTTCTTTCTTAAGTCTCTTCGAAGCTTAAACCTTCGAAAAAAAGTTTAACAAGTTCTGACGATTCTTTAAAAGTTATATATGCATATAATTGATGAGACCAAAAAATAATTTTACGTAAAAATCAAATGTCGGTAATGATATTGTTGAAATTGAAAACGGATTTGTTTAGAGAGTGAAAATATCCATTTACTTATATTATTCTACCTGTTTCTACAGTATGTCGAGCTTAAGCGCCTATGATAATTAGAATTTTTTCAGTAAAAAATGATATAATATTTAAAAAAAATTTTGAATTGAAAATTTAAAATTTTTTGTTATTTTTAATTAAATTTTTATATTTTTATTTTAAATTAAATATTATATTAATGTATTATAATAAATTATATATTGATATAATATGATAATATGTATTATTTTTATCATTTATGTTAACACCACATGATATAAAAAAATAAATAATATTTTGATTAATAATATTTAATTAATTATTAATTATAAAAATTTATTTAATTTAAAATAAAATATAAAAATTTAATTCAAATAATAAAAAATAAAAATTTATTTAAAGTTTTTAAAATAATTTAATTTTTTAAAAATATCATATCATAACAGTTTGTGAAGTCTCATGCAACTTATGTTATACGAAAACTATAAATTAGGTTAAACTTCGTTCTCTTTTTTTGTTCATTCATAAAACTTTTGTTTGTGATAAAAATGAAAAACGTCAAATCTTTTATTCAATTATTATAAGAAAGAATTCATCAAAACTACTTGGCACCTTAGTAACTTCCTATATTTGTGTGGAATCCTTATTTCATCAAATTTTTACTTTAGCCAAAACGTCAAAATCTAAATGGATATATAAATACGACAATTGGTTCACACGTAAGCCTCTTGCTTTTTTGGCCTTGATTCCCATTTTTGTTTTTTTCGTATGTTTTTGGCCAATGACTCTCTTTCTCTTACCTTAGGGAATAGCCATGTACTATAAATAAGAAGGCATGCCCTTGAGCGCAGCTCCACAAAGCATCAGATTCAAATCTTTTTTCATGTAGAGCTATCTTCGTCGACATCAGGTTTTACTAATATTTCTATCCAGGCAGGGATGGACAGGAATCACTTGCAACACCAGGTTACCTGCATGAGAAAGTCCCTATTTGATCAGGTCGTCTCTCGATTTTAAATATTCGTACGTTCTCAATTCCATTTTCGTTTTTATTTATTACCAAAACGTCGTTGCTTTTCTTCGTTTTAGCCTTTAATAAGTCAACATTGAAAAGGATGATAGATTTTTAGGTTTTTTTTTTAATCTAAAATTTTATGATTTTTTTAATTAACATAAAATTTTAATTGAAAAAAAAACACGTATTGAAATTTACCTAAAAACACGTATCTTTGTTTTTTAGTCTTTTTTCCTTTATTTCTATCTTCAGTAAGCCAATATACTATTGGACTTCACATGACGCCCACATCAAGCATTTTCCAGAATATATAATCCTATGTTGGACAAAAAGGTAAAAAGAAAATAACTCAACGACAAAAGCAAGAAGGGTGCGGCGTCGTTTCGAAACCTCAATCTACTTCACATCTCCTTAAGTGCCTCCAGCCAAGGGCCAAAGGAAAAAGAGGATCATGCTTTAACTGATTCTTCTTTTCTCTTTTTCCGTTTTTTTTATAATTTTTAAATAGAGAAGCTAATATTCCACTTATAAATAAGAGATAAAACATTTTGTTCTTCACTAATTGAACCCCTTCATTTGACTCATCCAACACAATCCATGTATCATTTTCAAGTAAATTTTTCTACTTTTCTTTTCTTATCCTTAATTTATCAACAAATCAAGTAAAATGTGCATATTGAAGCGTTGTTCTAGGGATACCTTGACGAGCAATTCATCCAGCTGGAGGAGTTACAAGACGATGCCAACCCTAATTTTGTACAAGAAATTGTTACACTATTTTACACTGATTCAGCAAGATTGATTCAGAACATCGAACAGGCACTGTAAGGCCAACATTCTCGTGATAATCATCAATATTAGTTGAGAATTTGAGATTACAGGGATACATTGCAAATTAAAGTTTCCTCTAATTACTATAGAATTGTATTAATCCATGCAGGAACAGTAGCCCTATTGACTTTAGTAAACTGGATGATTACATGCATCAATTCAAGGGTAGCAGCTCCAGGTGGACTCTTAAATACCCAAATTAAAAGACAAAAAGTTAAATTGAAGTTATACATATTAGTAGAAATATAATTGGTTTTCTAAGTTACTTGCTAATGGTTGAAGCATTGGAGCTAAAAAGGTGACCGATGAATGCAAAGTGTTCAGAGAATACTGCCGTGCAGAAAATGCTGAAGGGTATTTTCTTGTCTACTTCCTTTTCCTTTCTTCAATTCCATACATAGAGATGCTTAACTCAAGAACTGCTCCCGGTAGCCGGAATTAAATAGGCAAGCCCTTTCTGAAGTGAATTCAATACCTTGCTTTTGTAGATGCATTAGGACTTTTCAACAAGTCAAGCAAGAGTATGCAATCTTGAGGAGGAAGCTCGAAGTTTATTTCCAGGTCTCCCCATTTTTACCTATTTCACTTATTTGTGCTGACACCGGCATGGTTTTAGCTTCTAATTAAGCCAGTACTAACGTTTCCACTGATTTCTTTGTCTGGTTTTTATGCAGATGGTGAGACAGGCTGATGTTGCTCACACAGCATAAGGTGCCTGGCCTGTCAGGTGCTGATATAAATGGAGATATATAAACTGATATAGCCTTCACTAAAATTAGTTCATTACCATGGAAACAAGGATACTTTGTAGATGATGCATAAGTAACTATGACTTGAATATCTAAGTATCATCAATAATATGCCACTTTATATTTCCCACGGCTTTTTGATCATGTTGTTTCCCTGTGCCCGAACAAATATTTCCTTTGGTTTGGTGTGGGTATATACATTTGAGTGCATCGCAAAACTAAATGGAAAGTTGACGGTCTTATTAGTGGCCAGATCTCAAGCTCCAAACTTAAGGTCTCCCGGGAGAGAGGTCATGGTCATCCCCGCACTTTGAAGTTGAAAGGAAATGAAGGGTTCAGGTATGGGACTATGGGGTGGTGGTGGTTTGTCAAATTCAACTATTCAACTTCTATCCATACTTTCCAGATTTGAATTTTGAAAAGTCTTGGGCTTTGGTTGTTGGAAAGACAGCCCCAGATTTCCCATTTGAACCCACTCACGTGATTCTCGTATTACTGTATTTCTGGGCCCAAATATGCAGAGTGTCTAGAGAGAGAGGGAAAAGGACTAAAACAGAATTAGAGTAATTATATCCAATCAATGTTTAGAAAAGTTTTGTACCAAAAAAGAACCCCGCACACAGTAGTTGTCTTGTATCCTGTTAGGTGAATACCCAGGGCGGTAAGAAGACCCAGCCATCATTTACCAGTAAACAAATTACATAATTTTCTTTAAAATCATCATCACATCTCTTTTACTTCAGGTTTTTATGTAAATATATTAACAGCGAAGAATTTTCTTCCTAAAAATCATAGTACAATCGATTTTACAGGTGCAAAAATGAAGCATACTGATATAGTAGTTAATGAAACAAGGACGAGAGGGAGAACTGGAAAGAGAGAGAGATTTTGGCTGGCTGGTTAGCAGGCAAACTTGTAATGATTATACCGATCAAGAAGTAAAGAGAATTAGAAAAAGGAAGGAATAAAGCGAAAAAGGTCCAAAAAGGCTCCTCTAAAGTGAAGCTGGGAATTATCAAGGCAGGCAGTGATGGATCATATCTAAATAAGTGGGATGTTAGGGCTCCACCATTACAGATGGTGAGCGCAAAAGGGTTAGTTGTTCTGCTAACAATGATGACCAAGACTTTAGTTTCGTTTTCTTCTTTTCCCCCAATATTCATTGAACATTTCCATTGCCTACTCTGTGAAAAAAGACGGAAAAATATATACAAGCCTGAAAGTAACTTGATTGTCCGAAATGCTGAACCCATCAAGCAAAGGTAGGCTTCTCCACCCATCCAAGAAACGCGGATTGCAGAAAGGCATGCCTCAAAGAGTGTTTTTTAGAGTCAACAATTTAATAATGACTGCTAAGAAGCCATTTGTAAAGTGTAATTATTACTTTTGAGTTCTGTTTTAAGTCAGGACCTAATCAGGATTGTAGTTCTCAGTTCAACAATGTTCTGGACATATGGGAGGAGTTGACTGGGTTTACGAACTAGTGGACTAATTGTAGTGAAAGGTTGACTACAGATATGGATACAGCACATGGTTTTTTCTTCCTTCTTTGGATGAATCCTATGCCCTGGAAAGCATTTGATTATCACACTTTTCTCTTGCTCAGTTGCTATTGCCAATAATTATGGAGTAGCTGGCTAGACAAACACCTGTCCAAGATTCATAAATCATACTACATGGTATGAGCAGGAGGCAGGGCTTTTGCGTCTTTTACACCCAGGAAAGAGAAGTGTATATATATATATATATATATATATATAGAAAAAAAGAGAGAAAAACTTATAGGTGGAAAGAAATATTGTGTGTCAGCAATCAGCTTAATTCTACAGCAGATGGGAAAATGTTAGTGGGCATTTTGATTAATTTCGTATGTATTTAATCAAAATGTAAAATGTAGGCCTCAGGTTTTCATTATCAGAGAAAATGAACAACAATGCTGTCTTTATCATGTGCCATGCCCATGTGCCTAAGCTTAGGATAAGCATCATATGAGTCTAGGCAAGCATTGCTTCTTGACAAAAGGAGAACACAACAATGTTGTCTTGTCTAGGTTATGCATCAAAGTATATGACTACAAATTCCATTATTTCCAAGCTGTTGCCTGCCTCAATGCTTTATTTTCCATTTCTAGTGTGGTTGAAAGAAAAAAAAAACCTCTCTGCAGTTTCCTTCTGTCTGTCTATACTATACTCAGTCTCAAGAGGAAACTAGAAGAGAATTACTGAAAGCAGTCAAAGAGCCGCCTAGCTATATATTTCCCACGAGCTTGCCACATATCACCAAGTTTTGTTCTCAGATTGGCGTGGTTGCTGGATGTCTGGTTGTCCTTTTCCTTAGAAAGCAGCAGAACTCATTGATAGGCTGGAAGTAGATATATTCTGTAGACTGTTGGTTTGTAGATTGTTTAGGCCTTTAGGTAGACATAAGCAGGCATAGCTAAAAATATCCCGTGAGCTTCTGTTTTTTCTGATCCTAGCCTGCAGTTCTCTTAGCTACATGACTCATTTAGTTTCCTGATTGAAGTTCTGTTACCAGAAAGGATTCAGTAGTTTTCTCTGCCCTTAGCCTCCACTCAACTAAACTTATTTTCTAAGAATTAAAGTATAGTTTCTTTTTCCAACCAGCTAGGATCTCTTTCATTTCCCCTTATTATAGCGGCTAAGATGGAGGAATATCCTCGATTGCTGAACCTAAATCCTATGAACAAGGAATGGCTTGTAAACCATAAAGTATCAGAGGACAGAAAGTTGGAGTTGAGGCTTGGTCCTCCAGGAGAATTCCTTGGCTGCAACAACTGTGCAACTCATGGAACAAAGAGAACTTTCCAACACACAGCTGAAACAAGCATAGTAGAGAAAGACCGGTGGAGAGATGGTAGTGAAAACCAATGCCAAAAGCTTTCGTGTTTTGCAAAAACAGGCGATGCGGTAAATTGTACTCCATCTCCATGGTCATCTGGCTCTATACCATATTCTGCCTTTCAGAGAGACTCCCAGAAGGAGTCACAACATTCAAAGGCTTCATTTTTCCAAAACTTACCAATCTCCAAGAAGCTTGCTGGCATGGCTGAGGACTTCTCACAGCCATGTAGCTCTAGGGTGGCAGAGGTGCAGTTTCCAGATAGGAAGGCATGTTCTAGTCTTGCTACTGCTGATGCAGATACCGCCACAAACAATACCTCCAACAAAAGGTTGTTATGCTTTAACTTTTGATACTTTGCTTGTATTAGGAAAAAGAATTTACTAAAGGTCATTTAACATGTTGGTTCTTAACAAAAAGCTAGCGAAAAATATTATTCTGATCTTTAATTGAGGATGAAAGAAAACTGTATTCTCTTAGTGGAAATGAAAGTTTATTAAAATGTCAGTAACTTTAGGAAAAATAGCACCAACTCTTTGTCCTAGGAGATGAGCATGGTTTGATTCAAGCATGTGTGGGGTGAGAAAGGTGTTTCTGTGGTTTGTATTGAGTAGTAATAAATGCTGTGAAAAAGGTCTTTTATAAAGTTGTATTGGTTAGTCCCTGGCTGATGCCACTGAAAGCTAGATCATTTTTCTTATCTGCCCCTCTTACTGTCTCAAAATGAGCAGAATAGCATATTCCCCAGTTGTTGGGTGGCCTCCAATTCGGTCATTCAGGAAAAATCTTGCAAGCAGCAGCTCGTCCAAGCCAGCTTCTGCATCACCGAATGAAAAGGACATTGGAGGAAAACCCGAAAATTCCAAAAATCAGTTGTTCGTGAAGATCAACATGGAAGGTATTCCTATCGGAAGGAAAGTGAATCTCAGTGCCTATAACAGCTACGAGGAACTCTCACTTGCTATAGATGAGCTCTTCAGTGGTCTGCTTGCAGGTTGCCTTCAAACCTGATCATAGTAAATGTTCCACAGATATTGCTTAAAACATTTTTGTAACGTCTTCCTCTATGTTAGCTTACATTGACTGGTATTTTACAATTACATCCAGCTCAAAAAGATTCATCTGCCACTCAAAATGAAAACAACATCGAGGAATTAGCAAAAGCAGATGCAGGCTCATTAGCTGGAAGTGGGGAATACACTCTAATTTATGAAGATGATGAAGGAGACAGGATGCTTGTTGGGGATGTCCCATGGCAGTAAGCATTTTTCTATTTATTAGTCTTTAGTTTTATCAGATCAGCTTACACAAGTTAGATTCTTACAAATGAAACCTTCAACTATGATTCAACTGCAAAATTCAGTACAAAAACATTTGTTCATTCAGGATGAAAACTTGGTGGCATACAATCTGTAATTCAGTAAGTGTAATGACTATGATATTCTATCATGATTCTTGAAGCTACTGCCTTTACATAAACTTGCTATACTCATTGAATCAAACAATGAATTCTTGATATCCTTTTATGACAATTGATCTTTTTATATTCCCAATCATTTTGATCCTGGAGTTCATCTACTTGGCAGCATGTTTGTTTCTACTGCAAAGAGGCTGCATGTATTGAAGAGTTCTGAACTTTCAACTCTACGAAGTAAGTTACTAAAACTGAAAATTGTCTATTTCTGTTAGCCGACTTTCTAAGATAGCTTAAAAGTTTTAAGGAATTTGGCTGCTTTTCAGTTGGTAGCAATGATCAAGAAAAGACACCACTTGATCCTGCTATGCAAATTTGAAGATGACTTTTAAGTGGGGAATTTTCTTTATCTTCAAGTGGAGAAGTTATGGTGGCACCAACTTCAAATTTGGGTTCAAAACTTCAAAATCTGTCATTTGCAATCCTTTCATAAAAGTTGACATCATTTCTATGGTTCTTCTCAGTTCTGAGCTTTGATGTTCGTAAATAGGTTTGTAAATATATGATGGACTGCCTGAGATGTACTACTTTTATTTTCAATTTTATGTTCTTTTTTTGTCCTTTTAGAAGTCAACTAGGTATTTGGAAATGGAAACTTGATGGGACCTGATCTCTTCAAGTGCTTGTAATTGACTTAGATTTAGGTCTACTGATAAGTATAATGTTTTTTTTTTCTTTTCTGAAATGAAAAGACTATCACTGTTTCCTGATGATTGAAAAAGAATTAATTTCAACATGCCTAAGTCCAACCCTAAGAACTTACCAAAAAATCAGAGCACTAACCACTGAATGAATGAAAATAAAAAGTTAAATTTGATCAAACCCATAAAATTCAATAACAAAATAAATAGTAATAAAATAGCCATCAAGTGCTTTTTGTAAAATATTATGAACTTCAATTAATATGTCATACCATTATTCAATATAACATTACATGTCATGTCAATATCACGCGGCATAAAATAATAATTAATTATTATTAATTAATTATTAATTATATAGATATATTTGATTTAAAATAAAAATATAAAAATTTAATTAAATATAATAAAAAATATAAATTTATTTATAATTTTTAGAAATTTTCATAAATTCTTTAAAATATTATACTAAAATTGTGTTTATATATATATATATATAATTTTTCCTTACAAAATTTAAAAAAAAAACATTAAGAGAGGAGTAAAAGTATCCTCTAAAGAGGAGCGACCAGAAAAGGCCAAAACCAATGGGCTTCAGCTCTACTACGTGATGCCAGGTGGCCCATTTATAAAACAAACAGAGAGAGGAGAACCCAATTCCAAAACGAAAAATTCCCATTCCAAGGTTCTAGGGTTTACTGATATTTTATTTTCCCGTTTGCTGTTTAATAAATAATTAAAATTTTTATGACAAAATCCCTCCCCCTCCAGTCAGGGCCTCAAGGTTTCTTGCAGATCGGCACCGAGGTAAAAATTCATACTTTCATTCATCAGAAACAACAAAGTTCTTCTTTTTCTTTTTTCTTTTCCGTTTTTCCCCAAATATATTATTGGTTATGTAAAGACCGATCGTTCACCATCTGAAGGTGATATGTTTTCTAGTGTTTTGCTCTGTTCGTATATTTGTTTCATGGGTTTTGGCTTGGATCGCTTGTTATGATCTTTTTTTTAAAAAAAAAAAAAAGTCAAGTTTTTTTTATGTAACTTGAAATTAGCTGGTGAGCTTAGAAAAGAAAAGAAGAGTGTCCCAAAAACATATACTATGTAAATCTGTGTCCTTGAAAGTTTTTCATTTATTAGTTTTTATGTCTTCCTCTATTGATTTTGTTTGGTTTTATAGGTCATTGAATTTGGTAAATAACGGTAGGTTGGTGCAGCCAAATTAGATTAGCAAGTTTGCTGAAATCTTCGTCTTAATTAGACCTATGTCTAATTTGTCTTGAAATAAATCCTTGTTGTTTGTCAAATTTTGAGCAATTATTTTGACAGTTGAATTTTGTAGGGAATTTTGAAACTTGGGTAGTTTTTGAATATAAAGGTGCCATCTTTCTGAACCATGGGGACCCCAGAAACGTCTCGAGAGCCATGCCCAGATCGAATTCTTGATGATATTGGTGGTGCTTTTGGTATGGGTGCCGTTGGAGGTGCAACCTTCCACTTCTTGAAAGGCACAATTAACTCCCCTAGTGGTGCTCGGTTGATTGGAGGAACTCAAGCTGTGCGTATGAATGCCCCTCGTATCGGTGGTAGTTTTGCTGTTTGGGGTGGTCTTTTTTCCACCTTTGATTGCACAATGGTGTACGTCCGGCAAAAAGAAGATCCATGGAACTCGATTATAGCTGGTGCTGCCACTGGAGGGTTTCTTTCAATGCGTCAAGGACTTGGTGCTGCTTCCAGATCGGCAATGTTTGGTGGGGTTTTGCTTGCCTTGATTGAAGGAGCTGGGATCATGTTGAATAAATTTCTCAGTCAACCGCAGATGCCTATTATGATTGAAGAGCCAGCACCAAATGCAGCTGGCATGCCTGGATTTCCAATGGGGCAATTGCCAAACCAAGCGCCTGTATCAGTTGACAGTTTGAGGCAGGGCTCACCGTCATCAACATCATCACCGTCATCATCATCAGCTTCCTCATCTAACTCTTCCTCTTCATGGTTTGGAGGACTTTTTGGAGGCGGAAAGAAGCAGGAGTCGGCAACAAGTAGTGGAACTAAGACAGAGGTTTTGGAGAGCTTTGATGCTCCTCCTGTGCCATCATTTGAATACAAATAAAGTGGTGACTAGCCATTTTCTCACTGTTGTCAACAGAGCTTAACTTCTGCCACTAAAATCCCGCTTTTATTTTAGTGCTTTGAAGTGTTTGAACTTGTTGAGAGTTGAATTTATCATTATAATTGAATCAATGGTTGTTATTGCTTTTCTATTCTTCTTTCCCCATTCAAACCATACATCTACATGTCTATACCGCTGATTCACTTCAGTCAAATAATACCCAATGTTTTTGGATCTCTTAACTTTTCATGGTTGAATTTTACTTCTTGCAAACTACTGTTTAAACATTAGGCTACATTATTGCATTTAATATAGTAATTTGCTCAGTGCTCTATGGCTTTCTTCTAGTGACATGATTTTCTTGTTACTAGCATTTCAGAATAAAGCTTCTCATTGTGAATGCTTAATGAAGTCCTAGAATGGCATGGAGCCATGGACAATGGTGGGTTTTTGAAGGGTTTTTGGAATGTTTTGAGAACAGGATTTATGTCAATCACCCTTTTTATTTGTTAATGAGTATATGCAGAATTCAGGTTATAAATATACATTACATATATGTAAAGGAGTAACACTGTAAGTGCAGGCCACGCCTACGCCCAAACTTCTAGGGATATTGGGCCACACTGGGCCCACTTTCTCCCCGGAAAAAATTTTGGGTTATCCGCTTGGCTATGGGGTGTCGCTCATTCTGCTTTTGTACTTATTGATTAACGATTTTTTGCTTGGTATAAATAGGATTCGATTTTCTTTCTGTTTCTTGATTTTGCTTAATTGTACAAGAAAATAAAATATGTTAATGCTTTTCTTTTTGCACAAAAAAATTGTCACTTGTCTCTTGCTTGCAGAAAAGTGAAAGTAGAAGAAAAACCTTGTAAATAGTAAAAAAGAAAATTTCCAAAATAACCTTAATCTTAGCTAATAAAAGCGTTGCTTACATACGCTTTTAGACTCTCAAACATTACATAAAAGAGCACATAAATTCAATATGTCCATAGTGTACAGCAAGGAGTTGGTGAAAAATGAGAATAAAATAAAAGCAAAACCCCTCAACGATTTGCACATTCCATATGCAAAAGTGCAATGAGGTAGATGATGTTCAATAATCTTTATCTAATATTCCCTAAACCACAAGGTGTGGCAAAGATTAAAATCACACGACTGTATTATTAACGAATCATTTTATATTATATAATGGAAAATATAAAAATCTAATAAGAAATATGTCTTGGTTTAAATAAAGTACGAACATTCTTTAAGATTAGTCATGTTAAATAGAGGGGATAATCAGAAAAAGATTTAAAGGTGCAACGGTTGAATGCCCATATATTGAGACATTAACAGCAACATACTGTTAGCATGTGCGAGCCACCTGCTTTTCTCAATGAGTAAAATGAGTATAAATAGGAGTTTAGGTAGTCTTTGACTCTTTACTATTCAATAGTATCTTGTTTTGTTTTCTCTTTGCTGCTAGCCTTTGCTCCCTTCATCTCAGTGGCAAATACGACTGCATGGATCTAACCATCAAAACGCAACGAGTAACGCTACTCCTCAAAATAGGCCAACTTGTATAGTAAGTCTCTTACACAAGTTGAGAAAGAATGTTTAAATTGTAGAGAGAAGAGAAGATGCAGAGTGTTCTCGATCAAGAAATGCAGCTTGAGATATACGTGAATCTGGTTTCGAAACTCACAAAGCTGGAGATGGTGCGTTGGATGATGGAAAAACAAGAAGAACAGGTACTCTCTCCTCTCTGTCTTTCTCTCTAGCACATAAAGTTCAGCTTCCTGCCCAAATACATACCGAGGCATGGGGGTGCTTGCTCCCACGTTGAAAATTTTCTAATTTTATGTACATACATATATATATATATATATAATATATATATAATTGTTTTAAAAGCAAGTGTCTCTCCGAGTTTTTTTCAATCCTCCGTCACAATGAAATAAATGTATAGGTTTATGCTTATTTATGAAAACAGACAAATAATCTAAAGACAGATCCATCAATAATTAAGAAGTACTAATTAAGCAGCTTATAGAAATATAACTTATAAACTCAAAAAGCTAAAATCATGACGGCATAATTCAAGATAAGATAAAATATATAATAAAAATTAAAAAAAATACATTTTAAGTGAAAAAAGTTAAAAAAAGAAAAAATAGCTTCAATTGCAATAAATTGGAAGTCATTTTCAATTATGAATATCATAAAAAATAAACTTAGGAATAAGGTGAAAGATAATTTTTTTATTGACTACATAGTTACTTATATAAAAAGAGAGATTGCTTGAAAATTTGACACAATTTCAATTATTAATGAATTTTATGACATGAAAGAACATTGTGCTCAATTTCAATAAATTATAAAAAGCATGTTACATATATATTTTTTGATATAAACTTTTTATATACACGAAGATATTAATTTTTTTTTAATTTTAGCTTGTCAAGAATTTAATCTTAGATCTGTCTCTGTACCTGCTTGAATCTCGCATATAGCATTTCAATCATTACATGACCCGACTGTTAAAATCAGAACAAGTAGCTGTCAATTGTAATAGTTTAGGCATTAAGTTATCCATTTCATTTAAAGATTTTAGCAAGCATCGGTTCGATGGGATGTCTTCTGTCGTTTGGTAAGAGGAAGTACTAGACTCAATAAAACAAGGCTGTGAGGTGGACAGGCAATTGAGCAAGAACCACTCTTAACCAGGGTGGGAGTTGGGGTACACTTAACCGCAGCAGAGTAAGGTTTGGAGAACGTTTACAGCAGTGCATGGGTAGCATGGCATTTTCTTCTTGCGTATTCTAGCATTTTGACTGAAATTCAATTAAGAAATCTGATCAAAATCTTTGACTTTCACGGAAATCACATGCTAAAGTATCTTACTTTATCTTTCTGTGAATTTCCAGGTTGCTTTTAAGTCATCGCCGCCTGACAATAAAGGAGATGAAGAAAGCTAACATGATAAGGTTGCATACATCAAACCACTTCAATGTAAACATTGATAAATCGAACGTCGGGATAGGTAGTAGCTAAACCAGTATTTACCGTGGTTGAATCATTGATTAGCCTGAATCAAAGTTTGTAACAGAAGAGTACCCAGTCAGCATTGTGAGGACAAGTAGTTGAATATCAACTTATTAAGGCTAACTTGGAGACAATTACTGGTGGCGGTGGCAACCCTCCTTTTGGACTCCTTGGAGCCGTCGGGTACTGGCCAGTGACAGTCTCTTTCTCCGTAGAGATGCCCAAATGAAGATCAATCAAGGAACAGTTGGGTGGCTTAGCCTCCAGCTTTTGGACCTTCGTATGCTCGCTTGACTTGCAGGCTGCAGTAGTAGCCGGCGCCATTCTAAGGTTGGCTTAGGTATGTTACTACGAATATGATTACTAGATACATGACCAATGAAAAAAATTTTTTATAGCATTTAGTATAATGAAGAGAAGTAACAATTACAAAAAATGTGATTATTAAGAATATTACATTGTAGTGTTTAGTTTAAAAGTATTTTATTAAAAATGTAATATAAATTTATAAAATTATCTTTATATATAAAAATATAAAATTAAACAAATATATATTTTTTAATGTAAAATTTTAACTTTTCAACTTTATCCATTAAAATTTTAACTAATAACATGATAAAATTAATATAATATTTTAATATTAATTATTTAAATTTTAAAATATATAAAATTACTAAATATTTATTTTTATAAATTAAAATAAAAGATATTATCGAAATAAAAATCTATCGATAGATTATATTATCTATTGATAGATAAATACCTCTATCATCGACAAATACCGTTTCCGCTATCAAAAATTTAAACGTAATCTATGAATAAATGTTTTCATTTATCGATGGATATACTATTTTAAAGTGCCTATGCTTTCTTTCTCTCATAATCGTGGTACCCAAACACATTTTTCTATCAAATCCTCTCAATTCTTTAATAAATTTTCTTGATTTTAAATCGTTTTAAATGTTTGTCTCAATTTTCAACATAAAAAACGTATATTTTTTTCAAAACACTTATAAATTTCTCAAAATTTTGAATTAAAGATTTATAAAACCCAAGGTCTCAATCTTTTCCATTTTCGAATTTAATGGTAAAATTTGACCTAAATGTGTTAGTAACAGGTTACTCTTCTTACAAGCAGCAAAAAAGAGAAAAGAATGGTCGGGAGGTTAAATTGGGAAATAAAATTTTTTTACCATCCATTTACTAAGGGAAACTTTCCCTCTAAGTGAAAGGGCATCATTGCAATGACATTGTTGAGGGATTACTTTCTCAACTCTAAAACATTAATCAAATGCTACAATATGCTTCCCGCCAATTTAATTGCAGGGAATGTCCTTCACTTACCGTATATTAAACAACCCCTCAAGGTTGAATCATGCTCTCCAAGTCATTACTCAAAATATATATATATATATATATATATGTATGTATATGATCACGATCACGATCACAATCACATATCTGTTCAAGCCAGCATACTACTCCAAGGTCCCTGCAACTGTAAACAATGATTTTGTAGTCATTAATTTTATCAATTATTTTTAAATAAATAATTATTTATTTTTTACTCTATTATAAATAATTTTATAACTTTTATATAGTGTATCTTAATGAATGATTAGTAATTGACTGAGTAATTATTAGTTGCTAAAAAGATAAGTCGAAATTCATGTGTTTTTTCCCTTTTTTTTATTTTATGATTTCAAAATTTATTTATTTATTTAATTTTTAATTATTTATATAGAATATTATTTTCTATTAAAAAATTATTGATATAATTTTTTTTAATTTTGATGTTATGCATGAAAATACATATTCTTTTACTTACATAAATTTCATATCGTCAATCTTTAAATTAATATTATCTAATTAAAAATTCATCAAATCATGAATTACAAACTTAATTATTATTATTATTATTATTATTATTATATTTATGATTGTATGTCAGATCTCACATTAGTAAGATATGAAGTGAGTATTAGGTATATAAACATAAGTTATCAATCACCTATCAAGTATGTTTTTTAGATTAAGAATGTAAATCCGTAATTTATTAGCTTACTTAAATTTTATTTAATTTAAAATCGCATGAGATTAGATATAAGTTTCAACTCGTGACATACGAGATTAGACTTAAGAATCTTCACTGACTTAGACTTAAGGATCTTCATTGATATAAACCCCCATGAGAGGTAAATCCA